TAAAATCTGTTTTATTTGATATAAGTATAGCTGTTCCTGCTTTCTTTTTGGTCCATTTGCTTGTAGGATTGTTTTCCATCCATTAACTTTGAGTCTATTTTATCTTTGTAGCTAAATTTGTTTCCTGGAGACAGCAAAAGGGTTTTTGTCTTAATCCAGCCTGTGACTCTGTGTCTTTTTATTGAAAAATTTAGTCCATTTACATTTAGAGTTAATATTGATATGTTAGCATCTCTATTTGCCATTGTATTTGTCTTTACTTCGATTTTATTTATTATTTTTAATAATTTTTTTTTTTTTCTTCTTTCGTGTTACTTGTCCCTCTGAGGTTCTGGCTTTAGGATTCTTGTAGTATTTTTTGGACTGGGGGTTTAGTCGTACTGAAATTCCAGAGTTTCTGTTTGTCTGGGAAGGTCCTTATTCTTTCTTCATAGAGCAAGGAGAACTTTGCAGGATAGAGTATTCTTGGTTGGCATCTGTTTTCTTGGAGTCTGTTGACTATGTCCCTCCACTCTCTCCTTGTCCATAGTGTTTCTTCAGAGAAGTCTGATGTCAGTCTGATTGGTTTTCCTTTGTATGTTATCTGTTTCTTCTCTCTTCTCAGCTTCATTATTTTTTCCTTGTCCTGGATTCTTGGGAGCTTTACTATTATGTTTCTTGCTGTATTTTTCCTTTTATCATGGAAGTTTGGTATTCTTCTTCTTGTATATCAATTTCAGCTCCTTCTTTCACGTTTGGGAAGTTCTCTTCAATTATTTCCTTGAATATTTTCTCTGTTCCTACGTCTCTCTCCTCTCCTTCTGGGATTCCTATAACTCTTATATTTCCTTTCATCATGGTTTCAGATAGTTCTCAAAGTTTTTCTTCAGTCTTTTTCATTCATACTTCTCTTTCTTTTTCTGCTTTGATTCTTTTATTTCTGTGTCTTGGAGAGTGCTTATTCATTCTCTCATTTCCTCTATTCTGTTATCACTGCTTTTCCCAGCATTCTTTAGCTCTTCTATTAATCCTTTGATCTCCTGCATTTCCTTCGTTTCCCTCTTTAGGGACTCAATTTCATTCTTCTGAGCATTGTTTTCCTTAATGACTTCCATCAGTTTTTTCATCACGGCAATTTTAAATTCTTTTTCTGGAAGGCTCAGAAGTTCTTCCAAGTCACCGTAGTTGCAAGCTGGTGGGTGTTTTTTTGTTTTTTTGTGGTGTGTCTTTTTTCTGAGGCGTTGCTACTTTGCTTGTAGTTTTTCTATTCCCTGCTGCCTGTTTTCTAATTTGCCTTATGCATTGGGACACTGTGCCACCGGTACTGGCTGGCATCTTTTTGGTGTGTTCTTTCAGGAGTTTCAGAAACTGGCGATCCAAAGTGTCTTAGACTGTTATGCCAGAAGTCTAATGAGGCACTGGTACTTTGAGTATGTTAATGGTCACTGTCACAGAATCTCTCCTCCTGTGTTTAGTTACAAAGGTGCATCTGAAGTCCCACAGACTTCTCTGGAGGTGGGGCAGCTGGATTGCACTCTGGGTTCCAAATCTCTGGATCCCTCTCTGGGCTCCGACTTCCTGCCAGGTGGCACCAGGCTTGTGGGGGCCTTCAGCTCACCTCTGACTGCGCAGGGAACCTTCTCCCTCTGGCTCCACGGGGAGCCTTCTGCCAGATTCAAGCAGTCTTTATTGAAGAAAGTTCCCTGTTCAAAAATGGCACTTTGGAGACAGGCACTATCTTCCACGCACCTGGTCTGCCCTGGCCCTGAGTGTCCACTCTTCCTCTGGGTTTGGAGTGCTGGCCAGAAGAGGCCTGGCTTGGTTGAACTTCCCAGCTCACTTCTGACTCCTCTGGGAACCTTCTGCTGGTTTCAAGCAGTCTTTACTGAAGAAGGTCCCTATTCTAAAATGGTTATTAGGATACAGGCACACTCTTCTGCGTGCCTGGTCTGCCCCAGCTGTGGGTGCCCGCTCCCCCTCTGGGCTCAGACTGCTGTTGCTTTGGTTTTCATTTGGTCTTTCTGTTCTTGAACAAGAAGGCTTAGTTAGTGACTTAAGAGCTTTTACTATGATAGTGTCTTTTACATCTGTCATCTCCTAGGCCCTGCTGTTGCGGCAGCCCCTAAGGTTTGATTTGTTGACTTTCATTTTCACTCATTTCAAAGCCTCCATATTTTCTAAATTTCCCTGTCATATTCTGTTTCATCCATTGATAATTTAGAGAGTGCTGTTTATTTCTCACCCAGTGCCCTTCTTGCGTGAGTGTCATTCTAGGTAAAAAGGTATATTTGATGGTATCCCACATGTTTCTGAAGTGCTGTTCCTTTCTCTGCATTTTCTTCATTCTTCTCCTCAGCCTGGGTGGACCATATTCTTCTGCCTGCTCAAATTAGCTTTTGAGCCCTATAGAAAATTTTTATTCATATTATCATGTTTCAAACTCCAGAAATTGTATTAAGGAGAATTACATTAACACACAGGGAGCTCTGTGCTAGGGCCTGGCCCATGTTGGTTTTCAGTAAATTCCCAGCTGTTCCAGGGCAAGTGAGGGAAAATTATCGTGTGTCAGCCTCATTGCACGTCAGAGCAAGCTCAACTGAAAGAGTCATCTATGCTGAGAGACAGAGAGAGGACAGAGAGAGAGAGAGAATGCACAGTTTGCAAAGGATGCTAAGATTTCTAAGGAGGAAGTCCTTTGTTATACCATCATTCTGAATTATCAGACTCCTCCCAAGCTATATTTTACACCCATCATCCTGTGCTCTCCCTTTCTTCCTCTAATTCTTGCCTCTTTCTCCCCTAGTGTAATCATCAGTTTGCCATCACTTTTGTTTATGGTTGCTTGTTTGTTTTAATTTTAATTTATATATTTTTGCATCTTTTTTCATTTTGGTAAAATGTATGCATTTTCATCTTGTTATTGTCCCCATAAAATTCCCAACACCCTTGTTTTGATCCTACTCTCTTCTTGCTGTCATCACTTTGTAATATGATCTGGTCAATCCTCCTCGAGGCTACTTTCCCAGTCCCAGCTCTTTTCCCAAATTTATTTTTCTGGAGGTGAGGAACAGCTTTTGGGAAACCTGTCACTTCCAGGGATTTTGGTAATTTCTGGAACCACTTTGAGTTTAATCTGTGGGCACACCCATAAACACACAAAACAAACACAGCCACTAGGCATACCACAGAGAATCCATCACACATCTACAAAGTCCCTTCTAACATAGCTCACAAAACCCAGAACATCTAATACACAGACAAACATGGATTTTGCTTGGTAATAATCATATATACCACATGACATTACACACACAAGTTGTATCATTTACATGCAGCACACACCATCATACACCTCCTTTGTCCCCAACCACAACACATCACCCAGTCTGCATGCACGTCATCAATACTGCTGAGTGCAGCGTAGAAATTCTGTTATTTCACAGCTCTGTGCTGAAGCTACTAGATATTGGGGATTAATCAGTGAAAGATGCTAGCACAAACCCATGATCTTGTGGGACTTGCATGCTCGTGAGGAAGGCAGAAAGTAAGCAAGATAATTAAATATTCAGTGATCAGTGTAATGGAAACAAAATAGCCTGGGGAGGGGACACTTTTCAACTGGAGGACACAGCAGTCCTGGTTGAGTGGAGTGCAGAAGGACTTGAGGAAAAACAACTTAGGTATCTGGGGTGATAGTTCCCCACAAAGTTATCACTAGGACTACAGATCCTATTAAGGACTCCAGTTGTTATAGGACAGGGAGAGGGGCAGCCCAAACCCCGCAAACCTGCCTATTCTAAATGGGTTCTGCCATCCGCCGCATCAACACAAAACATATGACACTTTAATGGGAAGGAACTTTAATAAAAACTAGGAAACAATACAGGTAAGGCAAAGAGTCTAGTTTCTAAATGAAGCACCCAAAGTTACCCGTCCCCTCGTGGGTAAAAGTCCATCCATATGGGATCGGCCCAGAACAAGGCCCCAAAGCCTGCTACAAGTCTAAAGCATCTTCCAGTGGGGACCCACAGAAAAAGGGTCACAACAACCGGACAAGCCCGGAAGGAAAAGAGCAAAATCAACATCAAGATAAAGCTGCCATTGTCACCTCCCCACGGGTCTCACCCACATCTGTGTCACCCCGTCTACGACCAAAAGACAAGCGCAGTTTCTTCACGTGTCTCTAGGCTCCATGTGCCTCCTCCAGGTCTCCTGGCTCATCCTGCTTCCTTCCTTAGTCTCTTCTTCAGCTTCTCCCCTTCCTGCTCAGCTCCACCCTCCCTTGGGTGGGGCAGGGAACCTCCCCTTTCCTGGGGACCACCCTGTTGCACAGTGATCTCACCCACACCAATTCTATGAGGTCTGACAACCTAGACTCCCCATAAACAGGGAAGCACCACCAGGCACTGCTCTCACTGCTCACCTAGTTGTCTCACCACATCACACACATCACCTGAAGCACTGGACTCTCCCCACTTAGGGGACATGTCTCTGAAGGCTCTTCTGCATCCCTCACCCTCTCAGCCCTGGGCTCTGCATGATCCCCTCCTTCACACAGCAGGTGCCAGGGGTAGAGATCACAAGACAGACCCTATCATGAGCTTGTCTTAGTCTGGCTGCTGCTGTGTCGGGGTGGTTGATCCCCTGTGGTGTCCCTTGTCTCCTTTCCTGGACCTTTGACAAGACAACTAGGGATGAGCTGTGCCTGGTGCAGAGTCTCATCCACGACAGTGGTGGTGGAGCAGATGCCAGGAGTTATCATGGGAACAGGGACCTCTGTCTGTGAATCTGATGCCTCAAGAAGGGCCTCTCCCTTCCCCACGAGGTGACTGCCCCACACGCTGTTCAAGGTCACGATGGGATTTTAATTTGTCCCCTCTGCTGTTGTTCTGAAGGAAGGGTGCTGTTCCTACCAGGCCCTCCAGTCAGGATTCCTGAGTGTAAAACCTCTGGCATTTTGACAAGTTTCCTCCCTCATCTGTCTGGACCCGCCCCCTCATCAGTTTCGTTTCTGAGTTGACTCTAGTCAGAGGAACTTCCCTTCCAGGAATCCGGAAGTGGAGCTGCAGAGCGACTGGCAGCGATTTTGTGACTGACTGCTCTGTGAGGAGGAGTGAAAAAGTCCAGACCAAGGTTTGCTCTGGGGTGGACTGTGATTTCTGCGTATGTGTGTGTGTGTGTGTGTGTGTGTGCACATGCAGTGGGTGGTGGGTGGCAATATGGAGCTCCACCAACTGTGAAACTACACAGGACTTTGCTTTCTACCTCTCTCTATCCCTCTGCTTTCCCTTTGGAAACTCCATGACACAATTCAGATGGGGCTGTGAGCTGATGAAGGGCAGGCACTAGGGTTCAGAGGAAGGGCATCCCCAGGAGCACAACCCCAGGCATAAGGAAGGCTGGTGCAGCCCCTGGGAGAAATCCCCTCCGCGGGAGAGCAGTCTGCAGAGACGTACTCTGGCTCTTAGAGCAAGACCTGAAAATAGGGGGAAATAATCTATCCCGTTCCTTGTTTTGGATCTGCTTTTAGTCCAGGCCCTGTGAGTGCAAAGGAAAGGTCTCTCACTTCCTCCCTCAGCAACTCCCCACACATGGCAGCAAGGGGAGGGCAGCAGCACTGGGAGCCTGAGCAGCTGCAGCTGTGGGGAAGGGCAGACCCTCTTCTCTGGACACGTTTCCTCTGTCTCAAGTCTCAGGTACACACTGGTGGACACTGGGACAAGGAGCCACAATGTACAGGCCTTGCCCTATGCTTCCTGCCTCCCCACATCCTGGTTCTGCAAATTCCCTCAGCTCAGGTGCCCTGACCTTGTCCTGGGAGACCTGTCCTCCCCTTGAGGGAGACAGTCACCTCCCTTGTGCCCAGGGACTCTGCTCCCAGCACCAACACCTTCTCTACCACCCTCTCCAGCTCTCCTGCCTCAATGTGGTCTCCATGCGAACTTGAATAACCTGGAGCCCCTTTTACTTTGTGGTTATTGGTGGGGTCCAGAGAACCAGACATGGGGGTGTGAGGAGAGGCAAGGCTGATTGTTCCCATGTACTCTGTTCCCCAACCATTCACCTCAGTGATGCTAGCAGGACAAGGTAGTAATCAGGGCCGACTCTCCCGAAACTCATTAGACATGGAGAAAGTTTCACTCTCCCTCCCTGAGTTCTCTTCTCTCCTGCGACTTTTGTGAACCACCTCTTTCCTTTTCTAGCTCTGTTAGTACCCGAGCATTGTCACTGTCTCCCATGATGGAATATTCTGTACTTGGATATCCTGAGACCATTCTCAGATGTTAAGCGTTTAATTTTTTTTCACATTTTATTTAAATTTTATTTTTTATATTCCCCATACAATTACAACCCCCTTATGTTGACCCCAATCCCTCCTTTCCCCGCCTTCCAACCCCCATAGAGTGTCTCTGGTTCATAGTTGTTTGTTGATTTTGATATTTTCTTTCTTATAGTTATTCTTTTTCCTGGTCCCTTACTTAAATTTTCTAGATTCCTGCTATGAGTGAGACCATCCGGTATTTTTCTTTTTCTTTCTGGCTTATTTTGCTGAGCATGATCCCTTCCAGCTCCATCCATGTTGCTGCAAATTGCGTGTGTTTCTCTTTTTTGAATGCTGAGTAATATTCCATGGTGTATATGTACCACATCTTCTTGATCCAGTCATCTATTTTTGGGCATTTGGGCATTTGGGTTGTTTCCAAAGCTTAGCTATTGTAAATAGTGCTGCTATAAACATAGGGGTGCGGGTGTTCTTTGGAATTGATGTTTCTGTGTCCTTTGGGTAAATACCTAGGAGTGGAATTGCTGGATCATATGGAACTCTATGTTTAGTAGGTCCAGAAATCTCCACACAGCTCTCCATAGTGGTTGGACCAGTTTGCACTCCCACCAGCAATGCAGAAGAGTTCCTTTTTCTCCACACCCTCGCCAACATTTGTTGTTGCTAGTTTTTTTAATATGTGTCATTCTCACTGGTGTGAGATGGTATCTCATGGTAGTTTTGATTTGCATTTCCCTGATTATAAGTGAAGGTGAACATTTTTTCATATGCCTGTTGGCCATTTAAGCATTTAATTTTGGCTGGTCAGACTGAAACAGTGGATTTAAATGTTACTGAATTTTAATCTAAACTGAAGTGGGCAAATATGACTGGGATCACCCTACTCTGCCACAGAGGAATAGGTGAGGCATCTTTCAAATTGCATCCATTTCTCTCTCCAGAGAGAAGATTTCAACAACTGTGCAGGCGCAGAGGCTCAGGTGAGGCTTCTGTCCTTCACTCTGGAAAATCCTGTCTACTTCATCTCTGCCTCTAACCTGATATTGGAGCTTTTCAGGAAGGGCCATGGCCTTAGCCACAGCTACCAAGAAGATGAGGGAGGAAGCCACGTGCTCCATCTGCTTGGAGCTGATGACAGAGCCTGTGAGTATCCACTGTGGGCACAGCTTCTGCCGCCGGTGCATAGAGGGCATCCTTGAGAACCCACGAGGGACGTCATCCCTGAGGGAGCCCCAATGTCCCCTGTGCCGGGCACCATTTCAAAGGGAGAGTCTCCGATCCATAAAGCAACTGGAAAACCTCATTCAGACTGTCAGGGAGATAGACAGTGAGAGGCTGTGTGAGGAACACGGGGAGCGGCTCCACCTGTTCTGTAAGGACGACGGGCAGCTCATCTGCTGGCGCTGTGAGTGCTCCCCCCAGCACAGAGGACACAGCACGGCTTTAGTGGAGGACGTGTATCCAGGCTACAAGGTGAGTGGCCACAGTCTTTAGCAAGTGCGCCTCTCAGGTTGCACATTGTCACTCCAATCAATTGTAGTGAAAACCATTATACTGACCCTAAAATAAATTTGTACCATTTCATTTGCCTAGTTTATTACACATCCATGTTGAATTTATTACATGTCCACCCCGTGTCCATCTTGACCTTCAAAAGTTGAGCAGAATCCTTTCCTGTAAGAACTTCCTGTAATGAACTTCTCCTGGACAATAGATTTTGCTCTCTGTCACAATGGCCTCGTTCATGGCCTCACCTTGAATATTTAATTGGAGACACCACAGCTTGCAAGAGCACGGGAAAGAATATGAAACCCCAGGGGTCAGAACCACGACTTTTTAGATAGCCACATTATAACGTTGAGGAAGGAACACAGGACACCTGACATCTCTTGGTGTGGGTGGTGAGGGGGGCACCAAGGGGCAGGAATGAGTGTAGGGGGAGACTGCCCAGAAGTGAGTCTAGAAGGACACACACAAAACCACCGTGTGTGGAGATGAGTCAGGATTCCAACTCAGGGACATCACGTGTCAGGGGGTATACCTGGTCAGGGGGTGTGTGATGGAAAAGGCAGATGAGGCCGTGAGAAAGGAAATTAAGAAGGAACCTTGGTATTTCTCAGAGTCTAAATCCTGGTCCAAAGTTGGGATTTTATTTGTGGAGGGAAAGATCAGGCTGACATTTAAAAGAACATTCTGGGTGCACAAATAAACATGAAGGACTAAAATCAAAGTTAGTCCTCTAAGAAAACGGGATGGAAACAGGCTTTAGCAAGTATAAAGAAGGACAGCTAAAAGATTTAGAAAGAATTGGTGAGTTTGAAGCCTTGAGATATTCAGGCACCGCCACGTTTCTCACACAAGAGCTGCTAAAGTGAGGCTCCCTGTGCTGTGCAGGAATGAGGAAGAAGGATTCCTTCCTCCTCTGCCCTGTTGACATTTGAAGGAAAAATTCCCAGAGTGGGGCTCTGTGTTCCCTCATCCTTGAGGTGCCTGTGTCTTGTGTGAAGGTTCTGGATCCTGTGTCAGGGCGTGTCAGTCCTGACACCCTCAGCGCACTCACCTCCCCCTGTAAGCCCAGGAGCAGCTCACCATTGTGATGGGGCAGATCCCATAACTTGCCCACCAAGTAGTTAAAAAAAAGCAACATAGGGTGATGGACGTGGCCTCAGGAATCTGACTGTGGAGGCTGAAATATCGTAAGAGTTTCAGTTGTTATTAGATGGAATGTGTGAGCGACTTAGTTATTGCCTTCATGACCTGGTTTCCCCATCTCTTAATAGAGGCTGAAAACGTGAGAAACTGTGTGACAAGGAACCCTAGAGATAGGTATGGAAACTAATCACTCTAAGTTGATGTCATGACAGTTCTTCAGGTGACAGCAGAGCTCCCCCTCCCCTATGAACTGGTTCTGTAACTTCAGCTGCCATCCTGGGCTCTCCTACTTGACTCAGGGTCACATGTAAACAGTTCTACGTGTTTCAAACACTCTGTATTATGATTGGTCCAGCCTATTATTTTATAAAATTTACTTTTAGATGATTATAATCTTGTACTTTATGCAGCATGTCCCTGGCAGACTGCAGTAATGTAAATAGCTTAGTCTATGGTCCACAGATGAGCTGGGAATCACAGATCGCCCACAGCACAGAAAGATGCCACAATCCTGCCACTGCCCATGGCCACTGAGGGCATGAGTTACATTAATGCCCTTATGTTGCTTCTTTTAAAGCCTAAGGACTCAAAAATATATTCAATGTTATGGTACATCTTGGAGGCTGGGATTCTTCTAGGTGCCAATGAGAGTTGTGAAATGGACAAGCCATAACTCACCCAATTTTTCCTTCAGGAAAAGCTCCAGGAGATTGTGAGAAAAGTGAAGGTAGTGCTAGACCAATGTAAGAATGTGGAGTTGTTGAGGAAAGATGAAATAAGACAATGGGAGGTAAGAATTTGATTTTCCTGATCTCAAACTATTTTCCAGCCTAGAATTTAGGCTTATGGTGATAGGGAAAAGTACTCATTGATGGTTTATTCTCTTTAAATCAGACCAAACTGTGGAACCCCAAAGTATGCCTTTTTCTTTAATATTTGCCATTAGTTGTCTTCATCTAGGAGAATTTTCCTCTGCTTTATGTTTCTATGACTAGTACTTGGCTAGGTGTCCTAATACCTCAGTCAGGAGAATCACAAATGTTGTGCTCCTTACATTTCAAGTTTTCAATGACTGAAATTACCTCCTGTCTTAAGTTAATGAACTCACCTGGGCACATTTACCACAGTACAGGGTCTGACCCTCTACTTCCTGGTTCTAATATCAACTTTAGCGAATACAAAAAGAGGACCAGTGCAGGAGACACTCCCATAACTCCAGCTTGTGAGACTGTTGATGAGGATAGAGCTCTGTAAGAACTTACACACTTCCACTGCAGACTGTGGGTCTCTAACCAGACCATGCAGGATCAGAGACACATTCTTTTATGGAAATATGGACATAATCCATTCCTTAGTAATCAAATTTATGAGTCATTTTCCTCTTTCAGGGTCTCTTCCCACATTTGTCCTATTCTTTGTAGATGTGCATATGTGAAATATAAACTCCTCCTATTCTCATGTTAAAATCCTCAGAAGTTCGGAGGGCCTTGCTAGGAACCGGCAAGTGGAGATCCCTGTCACTGTAGTCATTGCAACTGCCTCTGTCTCCTCCCTTCTGGAATCTCGGGTAGTGGGGAGAACTATTGCTACACACCATATACAGAAACCATGCAGTGCCACAACTTCCACCACAACACCATAGTCACTGAAGCACAGTGTGACTTGAGAAAGCACCCATGGAAATTACACTCTGTCCTCCCCAGAGAAAACCGAGTATCTCAGCATTTTTCTTAGTCTCATCCATAAGGATGATAATTGAATTTGGGCTGAAGGCAATAATATTTCTGGTAACTATCCAGACCTCCCCGAGTTGAGAATCATAGATTCCTACCAGTGTGTTGTTTTAAATTCAGACTCATTTACATTCGTTACAAGCCTTTATTTGAAGATATCTACCCACAACACACACACATATAGATAGCTTCTTACATCCCCAGTAACGCTTGGTTTTATCTTACAAATGATAAGTTCTTTGATCTAGGCAAATTTCATGATTCTGCGATTCCTACCCTCTTCTTTTATCTCTTGGATGAGATGAAGGAAAGTGATGAGGTGCCAACATAGTTATGATCAGCTTTCCCACTTCTGAGTGTCTGCCTCATGGGCTGGACTCTGCAGAGGGAGCTGGACACTTTTTGAGCTCCAGTGCCCATGGGAAAATGACCCACAGAAGCTAAGCAAACTTTTCTGAGGTGTTTGCGCTAAGTACACCTTACCTATCATTGCTATATTACTCATTTCTAACTGAGCAGCCCAGTGGCATTGTGCTCAATTGTTTTCCAGCCGTTGCCACTCTCCATCTACAGAACTTTTTCAGCATTAAAACCAGAAACTCCATGTCCATTAACAATAACTCCATTGCTCTCTCCTCCCAGCTCCTGGCGGCCACCATTCTACTTCATTTGTTTCTCAATTTGACTAGGACCTCATATGAGAAGACTCATACGGTCTTTCATTTTTCCTCTTTGGCTCATGTCCTTCTGCATGAATCTTCAATACATGGCCAGTTGGGCACATGTTACAATTTTTTCCTCCCAGGGGTGAGCAGATTTGCACTGTGTCTCAGTCACACCTGTGTTTACTGACTCACCATAGAGGTACATTTGGATTGTTTCCCCCTTTTCTGCCTACTTTCTTGAATCTAGGAGAACATAGAGCTTCGGAGAGAAGAAATGCAGTCTGATTTACAGAATCTCCACAACTCCCTCCATGAAGATGAAAGGAGACTGGAGAAAGCGAAAGAGCAGCTGCTGAGGAGACGGCAGGAAGGTGAAGCCAGTCTGGTAGAGCAGAGCTTGGAACTTGAGAGCCTTATGCTGAAATTAGAGAGGAAATGTCAAGAATCAGCCCTGAATTTGCTGCAGGTAAGAGAGGCTGTGAACTTCTGGACAGAAAAGAAGTTTAATCTGCTCCCTACTATTGAGTGGAGAACAATGAGGGAACATGGGAAGATTTCTGAGACCTGTCTACTTCACTTAATTGTGGCACCAAAATTAAAGACACATTGTTTAAAATCTATATCCATATCTGCTGGCAGCATTGGAGGTCCTGGGGTCAGCAGGTGTATCAGAAATTTAAACTTTCTCTGGGTAGATGTGATGGTTTCCTGTTTTTATGGAACCACAGCAAAACTTCCTGCCATTTATTTGCCCCTGTCAACTGTTCATGGACCCCTTCTAACCATCTCTTGAATAGAGTGAGGCAGCCAAAATAATGGTAACCTTCTCCTGATTCACTTATTGTCTTGGGCCATAAGCTCTTATGGGACCTCCTTTCAGCTGCCTGAAGCTTCCAGCAGGTGAACCTAAATGCCTGGAATCCAGTTGCTATTGCAGGACTGGTAGTTACACTGTGAAGGTGAGGATGTAGCGTGACAGCGCCCTCAGCAGGTGACACCGGCTGCCTCCACCTCAGTGGCCCAGCGCCAGGGTCTGGGCAAGGATTCACTACTGAGGACCTTTGTCATCAGTGATCTCTGATATGGGCTCCTCAGAAACAAATTAGGTCACTTATAGCAAAAGGTAACATGATCAAGTCCCTGAGGTCACAGGCTGATGTGAATGCAGTCTGCATGACTCCCCACAAGCCTGAGCAAGTGCGATCACACACTCATACACACTGGCAGGGACTATCCTAGGGGACGGGGACGGGAATCGTTCTACCTGGGTATGCATGGGTGTCTCAGGCTGGGTCACTCTGCTTCCTGGGGTGGAGTGTTCATAACAAGTAACCCCCTGTGTGAAGTGACATGACATACTGATTTTCCCACACTTACCTTCTGTCTTTGTTTTCACTGTAGAGTGTGAAAGACACATTGGAAAGGTAAGTCTGTCTGAACACATGGTTTAGGGGATGTGAGGATGTGTGGGGTCCAGAGCTGAATGGAACGTCTACTGCACAAGGTCTGTTGTCGGTTTATTCTAGGCAACCAGATGTGAAGCTGAAAACACCAGAGGACCTCTCTCTGGACCCTCAAACCGTGTACAATGGTTCTGAGCTTTACTTTTATTTGAAGAAAGTGTTTAAGTTCTTCCGAGGTATGTGAATCAAATAACTGCCTTAATGTTTCACAGGAAAGGCCCCTTAAGTGGTAGCCAAGCTTCCTACCTGTCCTGCTCAGACTCGTAGGCAGAGAGGTTGCTGAGCTGTTTTCAGTGGGTTAGGAACAAGCTCCCTTGGGTGTAGACAGGGAAGTGGCAAACTGTTCTCTCTTCAGGCTCTTCGAATTCCTCCTCTCCCATTGATTTGCTGTATCAACCAGGCCAACCACTACCTCATTTTCCCATTCTGAAAAATAAATGTATGAACAGACCTTAATTCAGTGAGCTTTCATAAAAATCAAATGCAACAGCAGGTGTAAAGTGTTTAGAACAATCCTCATCATGATGTTTATTGTTAACATTTAACATTAAGTGATGTTTAAGAAAGATATATCAGTATTCAGGACTAAGAAGAAAATGGATTATGACACCATAAATAGTTGAATCTTAATGAAAGCTAGTATTAGCAAACCCAAAACCTTAATTCTTATTTAGTACTTGCCATGCTCCACATGTCCACAATTAAAAAATTCAAGCTAAATTGTTTTAATAATTCCTTTGGCTGTAAAATCTGAATGAAGCTGAAACGATTCTCCATGGCTGGAAAAATATTCAGTCACTTAAAACAACACACATATTATTATCTCAGAGGTTTGTAGTTCAGATATGTGGGGCTCACATCAGCCAGGACTTATGCTTAGGGCCTTACAGAGTGCAATGAATGTGTTGGCTGGGCTCTGTTCCCATCTGGAGGCTAGACTGGGGAATAATCCACTTCCAAGCTGACTCTGATACTGGGCAGAATTCAATTATAATGATTATAGGACTTATGACTGCTGCACCTCCCCCTGCAGTGACCTTTAGGGCTAATGGCTTTCACCACGGTCTGGCTGGGCAAGGAACCAGCGCACAGGGGAGTACAGCAAAGTTCCCTGAAGACATAGATAAGACAGATGCTTATCAAAAGATAACGACCACCAGGAACCACTACAAGAATGCTACTACAAAAAACCTTATTTCGTCTTTCTAGAACTACAAATTTTATTCCCTTATTGTCTTTCTAAACTTCCTTCTTTCTTCTATAAAGGTCATTGGTTGTTAATTAAAAAATCATATGAAATCCTTAACACAAGGCTGACTCAAATGAAACATTACTAAACCCTGTAATAATTAAAATATAGTTTAGGTGAAAAAGTAGTTAATAAAACAAAAAATGCAATTACATAGTTTAAAAACAAAACTAATGGTCTATCTACTTAGGAATGAGGTTAGATGTAAATCACTGCCCTGTCAGTGATAAGCTAAACCCATGAGCAAGCTGATTTCGTTGCTATTCACTGTTCCTATGCTTTTAGAAAACATTTATATACTGGTCACAAACTCAAAGAGAATTACACTCAGATTTACACTCTCTCTTGAAGTGTGTCTGTCTGTCATTTCTATCACCGACTCCCTGACCACCCTGCGTGTTTCTCTCAACCCTGAGACGGCCTCATCGTCTACTGCTGAGCTGGTCCGCGCCAAGCAGCGCCCGAACGTGGGGCCCGACCTTGCATTTCATTGAATTTCCACCCAAAGAAGAGGTGAGTAATGAAGAGATCATGTTGGGTAAGCTATCTCCCTCCTTGTGTGTGAGTGTGAATGTGATTCCCTTAAATATACCCTCTTTTAAACAGTCAGGGATAGGGGGCCTCCCCGGTGGCGCAGCGGTTGAGCACTGGGTTGCGAAGCTGCCCGCGGCCTCTGCGGCGCCGGTTCGATCCCTGGCTGCTCCCCGGCCACCGGAGGAGGGTCCCACATGGCGTGCAGACCTCTCCTGCCGCCCGCTGCTCCCCCCAGCAGTGTACTTCGGTCCTTCTGCCTGCTCTGCTCCCCTCTCTGGCTCTGGTGAATTCTCTCACCCTCCCGCGCTTCTGACTGTACCCAGTGCATGTATAAACAAAACAAACAAACAAACCAACAAACAAATAAATAAAGCATGCCTCTATTAAAAAAAAAAAAAAAAAAGACAGTAAAAAAAATAAAAAAAAAATAAAATAAACAGTCAGGGATAGGATCCTCACTGGAGCGTCCGGAGCTCGCTGATAAAGGGTGATCAGTTTGAGATAGTGAGAAGTTTTTCTAAGTGTGAATGCTCGTGGTGCTGTGTGTGTGTGAGAGTGTATGATTACGGCTCCACGGCCTCGTGGCTATGGAGACTGAGTGGGCTGCACCTGCGATTCCCGTGGAGGAACATCATACGGCATAATGGTCATCTGCTCTTCGGAGCAGCCTGGTCCGGGATTTATACGGACAGACCTTAGCTAAGACGCCTCCGCAAGTTCCCGCGAGGGACACGGGCTGGACAGCACAGTTGAAAGAAATCTTTGCTTGAGTGAACAAAAGCACCACGAGACCATGGGTCAATTACAGACCTAAAACAGAGATCTTTTTCTATCTATATTAAAAAATATGATTGAAACACGTGGTATTAAAGTAAATAAGAAAGCTCTACTGCAACTTTATGAATTTATATTACGGGTATGCCCGTGGTTTCCAGAAGGAGGCAGTCTATCACTAGAAACCTGGAAAAAAGTAGGAAAGGAAGTAAAAGAATTTTATGCCCTTCATGGGCCGTCTCAGTCCCAACGTAGGATTTGTCCTTGTGGGTACAAATTAGAAATTTGTTGGTTGACACCACTGAGGCAGAATTGTGGGATAGTCAACAAAAAGAGATTCAAGATAATCTTAAAAACAACAAAAACCTAGAAACAACACCATTACTTGCTCAAGCCTCCATTCCCACATTAGAGGAACCCCTTCCCCACTCGGAGGATGAGCTTAATGATCATGAATATACTGAAATGTTAGATAAATTAACTTTCAAAAATGATAAACCCTCCCGCCCAACCACTAATCTTTTTCTAATTGTTACCAAATCTAAAACATTAAATACCATTTCTGCCTGTAAGAGGGCCATTAGGTGGCATTCTAGGATCAGCAAAAGAGACTAACAAAAAACGGGAGACTTTTCATTTACTTTTCCTGTTGTTGGACCTCCGACCTTAACTTGCGCTGATGAAGAAGGCCCTACATGGGAGGCCATCCCCATAAAAACTCTAAAAAAAAAAAAAAAATTACAGTTAACTGTTCAGACAACAGGTCATAACTCCCCTTATACTTATCAAATTATTGACATGCTATCGGCCATTTGGATAACCCCTTATGACTGGCATAATCCTGCCAAGACTGTTCTTCCTTCAGGAATGTATGTATTATTTCACATGAAATATGAGGACTAAGTACATGCATTCCTTAAAAAACACAATAATAAGGTCAAGGCTGAAAAAATTTCCCTTTCTATGTTCAAGGGAACAAACAAATATATTAAGTACACAGACAGACTGCCCTACCAAAAAATGTTTTAATCAAAATTAATAAGTTGGCTATAGTGACATGGAAAAATCTTCCTTCACCTAAACATAAACCCACTAACCTTACTAATATACACCAATGCCAGAATAAAATGTACCAGGATTTTGTGGCCAGATTACAAAATGCTCTGAATAAGATTCTTCCATCTTCCGGAGCATGAGATTTGTTGTTTAAACAACTTGCATGGAAAAATGCTAATTCCCTCTGTAAAGAACTAATTAAACCTATAAAAAAAAAACTGGTACACTTCAAGATTACATTAAAGTTTGCTTAAATGCTTCCCCCGCGGCACTAGATCAAGGGTCTGAATTAGAGAAAATAAATAAAAAAACTCAAAAACTTATGGCTGTCTGTACCCCTAAATAACATCAAAGAGGACTCAGCTGACAGCCCCTTATTAATAAAACAATTGCCTGAACAGATAGGTCGTTTTTGCCTGGCTGGAGGCAAAATGAAAGATGCAAAACAAAAGGTAAAAGAAAAAATAGCCTGCAGTATTAGAGAAAGTGATCAGGATTCTTGGGATAGTGAAATTGTTTTTCAAAAGCCAAAAGTTGATTCTAGAGCCAATACTGACCTCTATGCAGAGGCATCGGCTCCCAATTATGAGACCATTCCAAAATCCAGCCCAAATTTCCAGCCCGGACTTGGCTAAAATTGTTGAGATAAAAATAAAAACTCAAAAACAAATAAGAGATTATGTGTCATGATCTTAAATGAAACAAAAAAATGCTCCAATCTTTTCCTGTTAATTATTTGGGGAGGAGGCTAGGTTCCCCCTGGTGGAGTTTTGCCATTTGTTTCTTTTAAAATAAACAAACAAACAAACAAACAAATAAATAAATAAATAAGGCATTTATAAATAATAGTATTCAAAGTTCATTCACTATTGTTAAAGTGATAAAAAATGGTTAAATATGAGTGTATGAGACTATATGACTATAATATAAATAAAAGGTTTTTATTAAAATAGTATAAACCCACTGCAGTGGGCTGGTGGGAACTGCCCTTGATCTCAACAAGCAGCTGCCTGGACTTTTTCTCTGGTGTTGGGATCACTGACAGGTCTCTACTACCTTCCTGCTGTGGAGGACTGAACTTTTCTATTATCCACCTTAAATAACTATTTTGGTTCATTCTACAAAAAAAAAAAAAAGTTCCATTTCCCTGTGTTTCTCTGATTTTAAAGTCTAAATTGTCTTAGGCAAAAACTGCTGAGTTACTTTTGACGTGCTAACAAGCTATACAGAATGCTTATTGGTTGAATAAAAGCTTTTAATTTTACTTATTGGACCTGTAAAAGATTAAGTTTCTTGTTAAAACAAACTAACCTGGTAAAACATAAAGTGATGATACAGACATTTTTGAGCTAAATTCTAAACCTCAAATTTTACAGGCAGACTGTAAAAATTTACCTTTTCTCCTGTTCTCAAGATAACAGTGTTCTTTTATGTTTTAAAATATGACTGTTCCCAGTGAGATAATGTATTAACAACCTAAAGCCAAACAATCATTTCTTAAAAATGTAAACTCCAAAAATATTTTCTTATCAAAAAAATTAGTAAAAACTGCCGTGACTGCTGTGGTCTCGAGCCCAAGGTCTTTGGTAATAATTAAGATTAGACACTTATTCTGTGTACAGATTTTAGCTGTTAACTCATTAAAAACCTCAGTATCTTCACACATATTGGTAAAATAACTATATTTCAAAATATATGCACATGGCCAAAATTTTAAATGTATATCAAGAGATCTCTGTATCTGTTTGTCTTTCTTTGTGTTTGTTTTGTTTTTTACCTCCGGAGGACTAATTATAGACGTTGCCTTTATAAATTATCATAAAACAAATCTTAAGATCTTGATCAAACAATTTTTTAATAAACAAAAACTAGTTTAAATTTTATGATATAATTCAAAGCATATATGCCTTAAAGTTATGTTAAGTATTAATACTTTGCTTAAATGTGTTTATTTCAAAAGAAATTTCTGGTATAAAAGATACTTTTGTCTTTCCTACTGAGTCACATGCATGTGAAAAATGTACATAGTATCTATATGGTGCTCTGATTTTTTTTTTTATTGATTTGCCTAATTGCTTCTTTATTAGCCAGCCTAGAAAAACCTAGTATGTGCCATTATGTTATTAACAGCCATGCAAAATGGAATTCCAGTCATAACAAAAACTAAAGCTACAACTAAACTTTCAGGTTTACTTTTTGCACCTATTTGTGAAAGCTGAAAATTCTAATGTCATATTACCTTGTGTGTTCACATTTAAGTCATCTAGTACAAAGAGAGGACAGTATTATAATGTATTATAATGCCTTACTGCTAATGAAAGATGTGACAATCCTAAATCGATGTAATGTGAAATGTGTGTTTACAAAGAAAAACATGTATTAAAAATAGATATTTTAATGGTCCTAAAAGTAAAGTGATAAGTGTTAAAGCAAATGTTGAAGGTCTAAAAGAATTAAAAGTAACAAAGCTAAGGAAAGTGTTGAAAATCTCAAAAAGGAATTTTACAAAAAGAAATTTTGTATACTCAAATGATTTATATTATTTTAGTGTTTTTGGGAACACATTAGCTGAAATAATCTTTGGTTAATAATAACTGAGTTATAATCTAATGGGTTGTTTCAAAACATGGACTTGTACACTAACATTGGGTATAATCTTGGCCCTTGTCTAGGTTAATGATGTTGGGTACATAATGTCTTTTAGTGTCTGAAAAACTAAGGTTTTTGAAATGACAATTAAAGGTTATGATTTGATTGTCAATATTATACTTAGGGCTAGAATTTTTATAGAGATTAAATATGGTTGTTTTTGCTGTTTTCTAAGTATTTATGACACAGCTTCCCAAAATCTAAATTAAAGTAAAATTTGGTAGCCTGTCATTTAATCGATTAAAGGAGATTTTGTGGAACCTCAGCAGCTGGCTTTAGAGACACTCCACAAACTTTCTCCTTTTCCTCCTGGGAAGAACATTAGATAAATTTATCCTATCTGGTTTACCTGGTAAAGTTACACTACAAGGGAATCACTGTCACTTGGAAAAATGGTAAAACTCTAATACGTACAAAAATGTTTGCATTGGTTTTCCAAAACAAAATCTTTCAATAATATCTGCAGGACTTGTTTCTACACAAAATAAAAAGAAAAGGCCTCAATTGATTAAAAATAATAAACTTTTGAGAGTAAAAATTTTTCTACAAAGGACTGTATAGACTGTTGGAAATACACATAATTTTTACTGTTTTGTTTGGCATAACATTGAAAATGTTTTTACATTTTGCCTTGATTCAACAAAGTTTTCTTGTTTTGACTGACCACACTCTACAGCAATGTTTTATATATATATATATATATTTTTTTTTTTTTTTTCTTTTCTAGCAGAGCTAACCTTTTGTGTGGCTTTGAGTACAATTCTTCCAGGGAGTTGACATAGAGCTAAACTAAAATGTGGAGAAACTGCTGCTTTGTTCGTAGGATTCCAGAGACCTCTGAAAATGATGACAAAGCTTGCCTCCATTGGCAGAACTGAATAACCCGATTCCCTGGACAAAAAGCTCTGTCATAAAGCCTGAACTCTTTTGTGGCGGCTCCTGAGAGCAATGTTACAATTGCCACAATCTCGCATCACTAATAGGTGGCTGTGCTGTCTTGGCACAATGCTCTCTGCCCCTGTGAGCTGGACTGGACAGTCAATGACGGGTAAGATCAGGAAGTGAGTCCTGACAACCTAAGACAGACGCAGTCCCCGAGGGGATTTTGGTTCCCACCTGTTCATCCGTGTAAAACAACAGGAACAAACAGGCCTGTGAATGATTGAGGCACCACTTAAATATGTTGCCAGTAACTAAGCTCATAATAAAGGAATGTAACCATGGAAACAGACTATAATGCGTGTAGTAAACAAAATAATCAAACATAGAAATAAATATAAGCTAAAAAGATAGTAATAATAGAAAATATATAATCATAATAATGAATCAGAAGATCTAGAACACATTTCCAGCAGGGAAAATAACAGTATGAAATGTTCTTGATTTATATGATTTTGTGAAAAGATAATAAGCAATATGTAATGATATGTGTTACGGTGATTACGTATACTTTGATAATGATTAACCAGATTTTGTGCAAAAACAATGAAAGTAATTATAGAGAAAATGTATAAAAAGAAAAGCTTGCCTTCAATAAATTGCACTCAGATTTTCACTCTCCCTTGAGTGTGTCTGTGTGTCATTCTTTCTTGTCCCTCGCCCTAAGTCCTTCGACCACCTTTAGCTCATTCTCAATCCACCCTGAGATTGTCTCAATCTCCCGCCACCGCTGGGCTGGTCCGCGGCACTCTTTCGTCTTTTCACTGCCTTTAATGATGTACACTTCAAACAACCTGGACAGGACACCGCTAAGATCCCAGTGCGTGCCTACGTTGGATACCCCTTTGCTCTGCTTTTGGGTAAGGCCTCAGCTACACGCATTCAATCGCATGGGACTTCTTACTCCATCCATTGTTGCGGTTGCATTGTTACTAATTGTATTACCCCTTCTCTCGCTCGTTTGTACTCTGTTGTAACCTTACTCAAAAGACCCTACTATGTTATGTTACCTGTTGATTTACATGATATGCCTTGGTATGATAATACTGCCATGCAAGTTTTACATGAAGTACATGCTCTTCTTCGTCCTAAACGTTTTATTGCTACCCTTATTCTAGCATTGCTGCTCTGATTTCCCTGGTTACTTCATTGGCTGCTTCCTCCATTGCTTTAATTCAGGAAGCTAAGACGGCTTCTTTTGTAAATGACCTTACCAAAAACGTGTCCATGGCGCTTGCAACACAGAGGGACATTGACTATAAGTTAGAAAGAAAGTTAAATGCTCTGAAAGAAATTGTTATTGCTATTGGCAATGAGGTTCAACTTCTTAAGCAACAACTGTCTACTCGTTGCCATGTTCTGTTTCGTTTCATTTGTGTTACGTCTTTACATTATAACTCTTCCTTACATTGGAATCTCAAGAAAAAATCACCTATTGGGCATCTGGCATGACAATGACCTTTCTCACGACCTTTTGTCTCTCCAAGCTGAAATTTCTACTGTCAGTAAGTCTCATCTGGACACTTCAGTCTCTTCCTTTGCCCATTCTCTGGCTTCTACCCTCCAAACTCTGACTCCTGCTCATTGGTATCATCTTGTCCTCTCTTTCATTGCTCTTTCCCTACTTGTCCTTCTCCTTTGTCTTTTTATTCCCCTCTGCGTTCGCTCCCTTCACAGGTCCATCCATAGTCTTCAACGAGATATGTACGCCTTCCAGCTCTGTTCTAAAAACAAAGGGGGACCTGCTGCACTCCCCCTGCAGTGACCTTTAGGGCTAATGGCTTTCGCCACGGTCCCTAGGTCCGGCTGGGCAAGGAACCAGCGCACAGGGGAGTACAGCAAAGTTCCCTGAAGACATAGATAAGACAGATGCTTATCAAAAGATAACGACCACCAGGAACCACTACAAGAATGCTACTACAAAAAACCTTATTTCGTCTTTCTAGAACTACAAACTTTATTCCCTTATTGTCTTTCTAAACTTCCTTCTTTCTTCTATAAAGGTCATTGGTTGTTAATTAAAAAATCATATGAAATCCTTAACACAAGGCTGACTCAAATGAAACATTACTAAACCCTGTAATAATTAAAATATAGTTTAGGTGAAAAAGTAGTTAATAAAACAAAAAATGCAATTACATAGTTTAAAAACAAAACTAATGGTCTATCTACTTAAGAATGAGGTTAGATGTAAATCACTGCCCTGTCAGTGATAAGCTAAACCCATGAGCAAGCTGATTTCGTTGCTATTCACTGTTCCTATGCTTTTAGAAAACATTTATATACTGGTCACAAACTCAAAGAGAATTACACTCAGATTTACACTCTCTCTTGAAGTGTGTCTGTTTGTCATTTCTTTCGCCGACTCCCTGACCACCCTGCGTGTTTCTCTCAACCCTGAGACGGCTTCATCGTCTACTGCTGTGCTGGTCCACGGCATATGACCCTGGCTTTTTCCTGATTGTTGAAGAGATGCTGTCCTCATCTTCTAGAACACTATCAGCTCTATAAGGCACCCCTTAGTGCTTGCATGGCAAGGCTATTATGTCTTCAAATAAGTTCAAGGATATGACTTGCACTTACTGGTTACTTACCAAATACCAGGAATGTCTCCAAGCACCAGGCATCCATTAGCTCCTTCAATCCTCCCCACCATTACTGTTGAGGTGTGATGATTTCCTACTATAGTATGCAGAGTCTCAGAAAGTGACTTGCAGAGCTGTGACTCACAGAGCTGAGAGTTCTGTATTCTCAGCAAATAAAACGTGTCTTTCTCTTTTATCAGTCAGCGTGACTCTGGATCCAGACACAGCTCATTGTGAACTAATTCTGTCTGAGGATTGGAGACGTGTGACCGGTGGCAGCCCCAAGAAGGAGTATTTGTTTTTTGGGCAATTTTGTCGCTTACCCTCTGTTCTGGGCTGTGAGCGCTTCCGCTCAGGAATATATTACTTTGAAGTGGATGTGGGAGAGGGATCTGGGTGGCGCATAGGAGTTTGTATGGGAAATGCGCAGAGGTACAAGGTCAGGACCCCAGAGCCCCAGCTTGGTATCTGGGCCATCAGACTCTGCCAGGAGAATGGCTACATGGCTCTTACCTCTCCACCAACTCCCCTTCCATTGAAGGAGCGGCCCCTGCTTGTGGAGTTTTTCTGGACTGTGAGGCTGGACTTGTGTCCTTTTATAACATGACCACTGGCTCCCACATCTTCACCTTCCCAAGGGCCTCCTTCTCTGATATTCTTCGACCTTATTTCCAGGTAAATCGTTGTTCTTTATTCCTCCCTCCACCATTGGAGTCTCGTTAGGAACAGTCTCTTTTGTTTAACCATTATAGAAATATAATGTGAGTTCTATTGGCAAAGCAATGTGATCTGTTTCCCTTGCTGCTCTTTCCCCTAAACTGGATCGGTGCTGAGTTCTCAGTGGACACTCAATGATGTGCAATAAATGAGTGGAAACAGCCACTATACAGACACCACAGAAGATCAGCCTGACCTGCGGGGAAGTGAGAGCCCAGCAACGATCATGCATCACCCTCTCCATCGTGGGTTCAGATCTCTGATTTCCAAGGGTCCTGGTCTGACCAGCAGGGTGACCAGACATCTGGAGGGCTGAGTGCTCCCACTGTGTTTGATACCAGCAGAGTCACCCGTGCAGATGAAGGAAGCGGCATTGTATCTGTAAGCTGCATAGAAGAGCAGGACACCAAAAATAGTATTTCTTTTCACCACTGACATGATGGGCACATTAACTGAGAGAATTATTATTATGAAGTAAATTTACTTCTAGTAGAAGAGAAATTTTATTGAAGAGATTATTTAGTCAAACTGAAGACTGGGCTCAGGAGACCAGCATCAGATTTCTTTGAGACTGACTGGTCACTCATCTGAAGTTTTGGGCCCAGGTTTATACATGAAAATTACATGCACAGAAAGAGAACATATTGTTTTTTCTTACTAAAGCAGAAAAGACATCTACTGAATTTCCAACAATGGTATGAAGTGAAGGAGGTTGGTTCCTGTCCACCTCAGTTAACTAAGAAAGGAGAAATACTGTTCCCACTTCACAACAACCAGTTTATTCCACACAGCTCGTGGAGCAGCAGGGCTGTGTGTTTGGGAGGATGTGAAGACAGAGGTTACTGAATATCTCATCCTGAAAGGAGCACGCCCTATCATCCCACTTTGGCATAAAAATTATTTGGGGCCAAAGGCAGTTGTGTCAAAAAATGTACAAGAGAAGCTCTTGGCCCTCCCCTTGTTTGCCAAAGAGGAGGGATAGAAGTGAATTCCTAGAGACACATCTAGACCCTGAGGCAGCACTACAGGCACACACATAAAGAGCAGGTAACACTAGCCCTTGTCTTCCATCACTTGCCCCATATCTTTGCCTTCCCATCATTCCCCATCTAGAAATTCATCTCTCTTTGTCCTGTCACTTCTCTAAGAATCTACTGCTCATTAGTTAGCTTCTCCATGAGCTTCAGTTCTAAACACCACCTGTGTTCCTAGTCTCTGAGTTCCTGTGAGTAATAGGGGTGCACGTGTGTCCAGGAAAACTTCCTGCTTCTCCTTCCTCTCTGCTGCAACCCCATTCACACCACGTCTCTTCACTCTGCTCTCCTGATGTGTGAGTTTTCTCCACCGACCTGAGTGTCTCACAATTCAATTCAAATCTGATATAATGGAGTTCCAACAGAGCCCCCGACCCCCAGGATATGGGCTCAGTGCCACACAGTCTCCAACCCCACCCCTGGCCTCACACCTCTCACAAGCCCACATTGTCACTTGTGCTTCTGACTAACTGGCTATTAATCAAAGGTACCTTTGACTTCCTCTTCCAGTTCCATCATTTTCAGGAAAAGGTCACAGAACCTAAGGAGATACTGAGTGTTGGAAAAGTCATGATGCATTTTTGCAGCAGATGGCCCTAGAAAATGTGTCATGATTTTTCTGACACCCCAGTACTTTCCTAACTAGCTTACTGTTCCAGGTGGTGGTGACTTTGGGAGCACTTTCTTGTTCAGATTCTGAGAAGATCCATGAGAGCTCCTGGGAGTGTGAGATGGGGCCTCCCATTCCCCCTCGAAGCTTTTCCCCACACCCAGGTGCCAGGTCTGTCAGAGTCTCAATTCCGTCGTTCATCGCTCTCTCTTCTTTGTCCCACAAGAGGCTCCACACCTCAGATTCTGGAGAACTGATTCTCATCTGCCATTTCTAGCCTAGACTAGACCCTCAGGCCCCAGGCATCACCAACCTGAAGAGGAGTCTGTGCACTGGTTTTCTGGGACTTCCAAGGTGGGAAGGAATTATCAGCCCCTGGAATGGAACGTGCAGAAAACACTGCAGGTCCTTCACCCTAGAAAGTCCCTTCACCCAGGAACAAAGAGACAAAGAGATGACTGTTCAGGAAAATGTGTGGCGTGTTGGTGAGCATGTGGTTAAGGGAATATGCTAAAGTCTGAGTTTATCCTGAGTTTCTTATGACAAGGAAAGTGAGCCAATGTGTCCAATTCTTGGAAGCGGGTGTTGCCTCGTTACTTCAGGCCGCAGGCAGGGGCTCAAGGCTGCAGACTGCTCCTTCCCGCTGTCCTCCCCATTGTCTCTGCCCTCCCATACCTGCTCTCTGAGCATGATGGAAATGTGTGGGGTTGGCTG